GGGGGGGGGGGGGGCATGCTAATTCCAGATTTAATTATAGAAGAGTCTGAGCACAAAGAATGGTTGATTTAACACCATTAATTAAAAAAAAAAAACAGAGAAAAGAGTCCTACAAACAAAATCAATACATCATCTGAAGAAAAAGCGAATGACCTATGTCAGAAAACTTGCTTTTAAAACTTTTAATAGGTGTAAAGTCTTGGATAACAAACAAACCATGCAGCAAGGTGGTGCACTTAGCAGTACTCAGGCTTACTAAGACTAGACATGTGGGCATGAGTAATGAGGTGACATCACTACAAACCTATGCTGGCATTAAACATTTAATGCAAGAACCGCTTCATTAATCCGTACATCGTTTAGGCACTTCCAAAACAAACATGTGGAGGAAGCATCCTCGCCGACGCAGTGAATGAAACTGTGTACACGATTGTTTCCACGAGCATTAAAGGAACTTTGATTCGATCACAATAAAGTACTGTGGGTGTCCTGTTGCCCCAAAGGTCTAAAAGGTACAGACACACCACCGCAATGTCGTGGGTTCGAATCCAGCCAGGAACCGTTGCCAATTTTCTCTTTAATGTTTACAACTTAACAATTACAACAACAGCATAAGCATTAAAAATAGACAGTCTTATGGGTGTATAGCAGCTGACAGTGTAAACATACTATAATCCTATTAAGTTTGTAACAAATGACACTGGATGCAATAATTCAAGGCTAACTGGAAGCTGTTTTAAAAAGGGATCCTACTGATATCGACCAGGTATTATTTGTTCAACAGTAAATGGTAGAGAGATGAAGTCCTATTGGAGCATAACAATACAAACGAATCCATAAACTACACTGACACATTCACAAATTACAATAAAAGTAGTTTAAATGAAAGCCAATTTAAATGTAAACGCAAATCCACTGTAAGTACAGTACAGATCACTGAATCCAACTTCAACACCAGGGCTCTTCTTTCTCTAACCGCACACACAAACAAGCCCAATTTCTCCCCAAACACCGGACTGATGTTTCATGAACATTGTAAAATCAGGCATGTCACCATCCTCGGCTCGACTGACTAACGCCAGCACAAAAACCCTGGCTGCCATTTTCATTATTTGGCTTTTGAAAAGTACAGATGCTAGTAAACGCTAGCTCCCCTCGGTTAGCTTAGCTTAGCATCCCCAGCCAAACAAGCCACACAGTATTTGCCACACGTGTGTTTATGATTACAACCCCCCCCCCCC